CCTCTCGCTGTTCTAATTCGTCGTGGTAATTTGTATTGTACATCTTTGTCAAGTTCTACGTTCGTTATAATTGACTGGCTAATTTTATGTCCTGTTAAAAATAGCGCTGCTAGCAAACGTGTAAAATAAGCAATATGGTTACCAACTATCTACGTTACCAATCTGTTTGACACCTTAGTGATCACTGTTGATATTAGTTCGTTCATTACCATGTATCTCATAGCATTTTCTCGAATTATTTTACATTTTGTGTATATTCAGTGTCATTTCTTATACTTCACTGTCTTTAAAAAAATCATTATTTGGTATGACTAGACTATTTAGCAAATATTTCGGGGAATTATGGTATAGAGATTACCTAGAATACCGGAACGTGTTTCCAACCAGCTCTTAGTCTATCAGAAAACCACCTTTGTAAGTGCGTAGTTTATGAAAACGAAAACAATAATATTACAAAATGTAAACAGATTGTACATATTTATCGAATTTTTAGAAGTCTTCTACAGGTTAATCTACCTGGTAACTAAAAAAAAACATATAATGTCATCCTTTTGGATCTCGATTATCCGTCTCTTCCATCCCTTATAGGGACTGAAATAGATTCCTAAGAGTCCCCCACATTTTTCTTGGTTAGGGTTGTATATTTATAGTGAGGATCGAGATGTTTTCATTACGGACTTCCATCAACTATAAAACAGAACTGACTTTTAGGCATTTTGATATGAATGAATTTCGCACAGAAATCTAATAACTGCTATCTAATTGGTTTGTCCATAAAATATGTTAGTAGATTAATATTTGTTTTAGGATAAAGTGTTCAGAGCTTAGGTATAATGTCGATTTGTTTGTTATTTTCAGTCTACTGAGAAAGAACTGTGAGTTTGGTAAGTTTAATAATATTATTTTTACTTTATAATCGCAAAAACTAAATCATTATGTTAAACGTTCTGAACACAATATGAAGATATTTCTACTGTTTGTTATACGTGATATTTAAATTCGGCAGAAAAGCCTAAATGTCACCATCTTGATTCTGTTTGTCTCGTCTCTATAATTTTATCATCTTTTGTTCTACGTTAATTTTTGTTTTATTCTCGGGTAAACGTCTGTCTTCATTTCAGAATGATGAAATTGTTCAAATGAAAAGTCGTATGCAAGAACTGGAAGAAGAACGTAATCGGTTACATCGAGTCACATCTGCACATTCATCTCAGTTAGAGAAAATGAAAAAAAGCTTGGGCGAAACACGCGTTCACTGTAATGAACTAGAGACAGAAAAGACTAATTACAAGAAGGTATATTATTGTCCAGTTAATGTTTCATAGTTGTGCTTTGCTTCGTTTTTGTTTCTTATAATCTTATTTAAACTAATCAATGAAAATACATTTTACATCATTATATGATATCGTTTGTGTAGAGTTCTAATAAAAGGCAAATTTTAGAGTAGATATATCAAGTGACAGCTTTATCGTTTAAACGCTTAACTTTTTACCACTGTATGGGTAGTTTAAACTTCGTTCTACTTTTAATGTAGGCAGCTGCAATGTATCACTGACGCCTATACAAAATTAATTTCAAAAGCTGATACTTAGCTACTAATTTGAACTGAAATAAAATGTGTTGGTTCGCGATGATAATGCCTAAAATTTTCAGGTCAACATTTTCTCAGTTATTCATCTATTCATTGGTCCGAGTATTTTCGGAAGAAAGTACGTTTTGTTTAATTAGTGAAATAGTTCTTGTATTATTAGATATTCTGAAGCGGTGATTAAAAATTCTTTCAGAACAACATATAGACATAATGTAGGCTAGCATAACGAGATCAAGGTACGTCTTCTGTGGTAAAACATTCTACCTAGCCTTGTGTGTCTTTTTGAATTTTCATGCAGATATATTTAGCTACTCATGAGTACGTTGTGTGTATTTGTGAATTTTAATGGGGATAACTTTTTGGATTTGTGTTCATGGAGTACCCCCATTGTCTCTAGTTTTCTTCTAACTTTCGCTTGAGTCTTTCTTTTTAATAGGTTTGTGTTTGTGTGACTAGCTATGAGATTTCGGACACTAGGTAATCTAAACTAATAATAATGATAAGTAAATGATATATCGGTCAACGTTTATATAAACACACAAAATTCCCTTATTTGTACTACTGTTAGTAATAATAAAAATATAATATTTAACATGAACCTAATGACAGACATGAACTCTGAACAGTTTTATTAATGTTTTGAATGCATTATTTAAGTTTTATTCCCGATTACTTAAAAACTATGTGGAGTTTTGTTCTCTGAGCTGGATGGTTTGGTCGTGGAGCTTTCATCGTTTTTCTGAACGATATCATAAGTACAAACTTCGGATAGAAGTTTAATTATTATGTACTCATTCATATATCTTCTGGACTTCTATTTGATCATACTAAGACCAACTGAATTTTGTTATTCCTAAACAGGATTATGATTCACTCAAACGTAATTCTGATCAGCAAGTTTTCGAAATCAAATCTTTGACTACACGTCTTAATCGTGCAATTGAAGAATCTGATCGTTATAAAGCTGAATTAGACAAGATCCGTTCATCTACACGTGAGAGCGTTGTATCTATGCGTCATAATATGGATGATCTAATGGCTGAAAATAAGCGGTTAGAAAAGCAGAAATCCGAGTTAATTTCAACATTTAAAAAGCAAATGAAATTGATCGATATATTGCGTAGACAAAAAGTAAGAGTATAATTATTTATTTGAACGGGTAAAAATATTTACTTGATGGACATATTTTGTTATGTTTTAATTTCCCCAAACTACATGTATCTAAAGAATGACATCTCACAATGTATCTCTATAAAGTTATCCGTGTTCAGGCTGAGTCAGTCACTAATGTTGTAGTCGCGGCAGAATGAAACTTTTGGAATTAAGTGCTTTCGAGGTTATCCATAAAAACGGTCCCGCGAACCTAACTGGGTATCGAAAAGGTGTGCCTTAGTTATTAATCATGTCTACAATAGACTGTTGTTGTGTATAAATTGTCTAAAACGTATAGCATAGCTAAAACGTGAGAAAGACAAAAATCAACTGTTAAAAACTTTTGTCCAATTCTTTCTTCTGTGATTATCCCCTTACTCCTGTCTTTTACTGCTGAAACCACTGTCAGTTCCTTTTTTATCTACTACCTAGTTTCTTATGCTGTACCAAGCATTGTGGTATGCCACAGTGTTATGTCATCTATTTATCAATGCTTTAAGTTGTCATTTGTGTGTTTGTGTTAACCAACAAGTAGCACATCCAGCTATGGTTCATTATCGGTTTCATGCAAATTTAAAGTGATGGGTAAATGTTAAGGGTTATAATGCATTTGCATTATAGGGTGCACAAGCCTAAAAAGTTTAATGCTCAGTCTTAACTGATGATAAACTTAATGAACTCTAGAGCAATGTTTTCAAATCTCATCTAATTTACTTAAATTCTCTCTCGTTTTCCCCAGTATTTTGAGTTTGAAATGTAATGATAATTTACCTTCGTTATCAAAAGTAGTACAATAACCTGTCCATTTTATTGAGCTAGTGGTTAGATAACCTACCTGGATAAACTGCATATTCATAATGGTTTTTTGTAGAATAAGCAAGGCTTTTTTATTTTATACTCTAATAGCCTAAAAATGTTTAAATGTCAGTCGTTCAGTGCATAAAAATCTTCCTTCCGTTCAAATGAAGATTTATAGTATGTTATTGAAGCCAGTTAGATTCTTTTCCTTTCATATTTATATTGTCCATATTATTGTTGTGTGCTTCTTTTTCCAGATGCTAATCGAAGCTTCTAAGTGCTTACAAATCACGGAAGATGAATTTCTGAAGGCTCTCGATTGGTAATGTCTTTAAACACAAGCATTTTCCTCGTAATATATTAATCGTCTGAATATTCATTTTACCAATGATTATTTACGTACCGTATGCTTTATTAATTTAACTTTTCACATTTGTATTGTCTTTATATTGGATAAAATATATATTTACTATCAAAAATATGTTGTTTATTGCATTCATCATGGATTTCTTTTTGTGATGCGGATTGATCTATGTTGCTTCAGTTAACAATATTCAATTATACCGTTGAATACTTTTTTGTAAACTAATTTTGATATCTTTTAATTTGTTAACTAATCAATTAGTGATCTCAGCTTTCGTGAAACTAATATATATATATATATATATATATATATATATATATATATATATATATAATACACTTCGAACAATTTGATTAGATATTTACCGGTTTTGCGTGTATTGGACTAATATATCACATGGTTCTGATAAATGTTTTCTCTTTGCACTATCTGTGTTTTTGGTCAGTTCCCCGGATATTATGTTACTCGCTGTTGTGACTACATTACTTTTACTTACTCCATAGGGTTGGTGTAAGTGTAATGTGAGCTAACTCATAAAAGCAAGTTTCTATGCAGAAACTATTTATATATTAAAGTAAGCTTTAATACGTACCTTAGATTTGGTTAACCTTAGGAAATTTCACTCAGAATGATCTTTCAATACCTAATTTAGCTTGTGTATTCAGTATTTCACAATGTTAATGGTTATTTAACTTCAGAAGGAATAACTGGTGCAATAGTTGGAGAGTGATTATTGCGTCATATGAAGCTCTTTCTCGTACGTTACGGCAGAGTCCCGTTTAGTTAAGTTCAAAAGTGCTTTCATGTTTTTGCCAGTATAATGAACATTTCCTTTAAGTATAAAAAAAATTTATTAACCTTCAGAATTTTTCTGTGCATCATGATATTTATCTTTGCAAATAAACAGTCATTTCTAAAACCAATTACGTCAGGACATCGGTTCAAGAGATTACGTTCAAATATACGTGAATCGATAATTTTTCAGATGAAAGCTGCTATTAGACTAGAGAAATTGAAATCAAGTAGACGAAAGCTTCCCGATATGCAACTGTGCGTAGTTCATCATTTTTTCCATTTTTTTTTGCAGAATATTACATGTCTAATCCAGAATCGTTTCCAGATCTACTATCTGACTCAGTTCTAAATGCCTTGTCACTTGAGACTTTAGTCAGTCAAGGAGCAGAAGCACGAATCTATCGCACTAAGTTGTTCCATTCAACATATACTTTTCCATGTATTGTAAAAGAAAGATTTGTCAAACGGTATCGTCATAGTACATTGGATGCTACTTTGTCGATGCAGCGAATGCGAGCTGAAGTCAGACAGCTGTTGCGTTGTAGAGAAGTAGGAATAGATGTCCCTCCAGTCCTTCTAGTTGATGTTCGACGACGTCGGATTTGGCTCGGTGAAGTTGGTTCAGATGCTGTCACACTTCAAGACTGGTTTAAAAAATTATCTTCTCTTGCAACTGAATCAGATTTATGTACCATGGATATCCAGGAGAAAACAGCTTCACGATTGCGAAATTTAACAACGGCATTAGGTCGATTACTTGCTCAGCTACATTCTAATCATATAATACATGGTGACTTGACTATGTCCAATATTCTGGTTCAACAGGTAGTTTTTTGCAAGCTTCTATAATATTGTTCTTTTAGTTCAATTATGATCTGCCATTTACTTGACTAACTATATTACTAAAAATCGAGTGTTGTATATATTTCGGATCATATGTAATTCTGCACACCGATCACATCCATGCAGTGGTTAGAAGACAAAATCAGGCATTTTATGGATAAATTACTGGTGTGTTCACAGCCACTCCATCACTGAGGATAACAAATTAGTAATACTTTACTTACCAATACGCATAACACAGTTTTGTATCTCATTGATAATGGTGTTTTGTTTGTCAGAAAGAAGATCGCAGTTCGCGACGTTTCATCTTTTGTCCTGGTAGTGATGGTGTAGATGATGTCCTGGTATGGCCGAGCATGGGGAGAATTTGCTCTCAAAACTTTCATATGACCACGCATATATAGCCACTCGCAGGGAAGTTCTACTGACTGTCTTTTCGTGGCAGGGGCGTTGCCTACAAAATTGAGAGAATGAAGAGCGAATGTCGGGCGATTTAATCAAATTGATGGATACGGAGGACCAACTTAGAGTAGTTTGAAAACTCTGATTCCTAACCAATAGTGCACATAGGGTTAAGGACACTGAGGGGACAAATGTAGTATGGACCTATTGTTGGTCACTAGTTACTATTGGACTGCATCTCCTAACGTTGCTTCACTGCCTTGTGGTTAGACCTCTGTGTCAAAGGCTCAGGAAGTGTCCCCCTAAGAAACCCATTTGTTTATGTTTGGGCACCTGGGTGGTATCCTATCCCACATACACATTTAATGATAACTTTTTTTGATGCATATCTATTTCGAAATCCCTTTGTATAAATATTTATGTGATTTCATCCTAATTAACAATCAATATGTGTGTACAATCAACATACAGATGAGTGTATTTTCGACTAGGGTCGTCGTGCTTTGTGGTTAACAAATCTTCGCTTGTAACAGTCTTAGTACTCTTACTTCGCGTCGGGGGAATTGCAGTGGTTCTTTGTTTTAAAAGTATAAGTATTAAGTGATTTTGATGTAACAATTAGCGACGAGCAGGCATAGCAATTGACGACCAGTCACAATGTTTAAATATAAAAATAAATAATAAGCGTTGATGATTGTCACAGAATGATCTTTGATCGACTGCTATGAAACTTAGGATACAGAAATTACGGGTATCAAAAATCCGGCTATGTCTAATCTTCATGCTTTGAACATGTTAACGCAACTGAAACAAATTCCGGAAGAAATCGCTTTTTACCTTTTAAAGAACTTGAAAAAGAAGAAACTGATGACACCGGTAAAAAGTATATCACTAGTTCAGTTTCAACATTCTGATTTATTTATGAAATTCGGTTTTGATATGGTGGTAGCTAAATGCTTACCAAGTGTAACACTGTTAGTATATTACTAAACCATGAAGTTGTAGGACATAAATCTAGAAAATTATTTTTATTTTATTCATTCCTTGCTCTGTATCATCACTTGAGCAATAAAGATGTTAAATCACTTACTGTTTTTAATACTAACCTCTTTAATTCAACATTTCTCCATAATTTCAGCTAGATAATTGTGACAAAGAATCCGATTTTCGAATCGTTCCTATAGATTTTGGACTTTCAAGCTCTTCTTCTGGATTAACCTCACAGCGTTTGGCAGAAGATAAAGCTGTGGATCTGTATGTGTTTGAACGGGCTTTAACGTGTGGTCTTGATCACAAAGCCCTGTCAAAAATTACCGCTGACCACTCCGATTTAAATACTCCAGAGTCGCTTCTAAATTTAATTATAAAGTCCTATCGGGGTAATTATGTATCGACAATACTGGATGATCAACAGATGAAGTCTAAACATGATAATGCAAAATCTAGTGGTCATTTGGAAAATCAAGATCACGAAGTCAAAGAAATTTTAAACAAATTGGAGGACGTTCGACTTCGTGGTCGAAAACGTCTGATGATCGGTTGAATCACACTTATGAATCGGGAGAACTTGGAATATGTAAAGATATAATTTGTAATCGAAGTTCTCAAAATTAAATAAGATAACTAATATGTCAGTCATGGAATCTGAAGGAAAAACAACCATGAAGTCATAATGTAATGCATACTGTCTTCTTAATTAACTGAGGGTCTTCTATGTAGTTTGGCAAGATGTGTTTTAAATGAAGGAAACACTTTCATGAAAAAGATTAAACAAACTTATTATTGTTTGACTATTTCAAACCATAACCAGAGAACAAAACTCCACCAAAGTAGTTTTATCACTTATGAAGTGTAGGTTGCTTCCTGTTGGAATACATGAAGTGCATTATTATGGCAATTCAATTTATACTTGTTTTTAATAGACATCTATCTCAGTGTAAAATAAACAAGAGTGTATTAGTAAAAGGTAACTTATGTCGGTAATATTATTTAACCTTCGGAATATTAACTAAACCTGATTGAGTGCCATCGAATGCTAAATCATAAGATGCTCATATGTATGGGGGAATAAAGTATTTTTATCCATACATATTTCGCCCTTAATTGCTAAAATCTATTTGATGAAATGTAATATCTTGTGATTACTTAAAACAACAGTGTTAGAATGTTTATTTCCCCTATGCGGGTTACTACTTATGAATTTAAGTTGTCTTTTTAAACACTAGTTGTCCTATTTTGTGTATTAATACATATTTACCACAATGACTATCATTGCAATCAACACGTGATTTGTTACTAAGCTTATTCTAAAACATATAATCATAATATTTAGTGAGTATATTTTCCATGTAATCATTCAGAGAAATAGACAGGAAATTTATTTCCCTTGTTGATTGACGTCTCGGGTATATTTTAATCAATCCTCCTGCTGGCATGAAAGATTCATTAGATTAAACATTAGAAATTCATATTACTAACTGGCAAACACAACAATAAAAATATTAAACAAATGAATGTTTGTTTTTAAGAGAAGGAGGAGACTAGATTAGGAAAATGAAAACGAACAAATAAGGAAATAGTTAAATAGAATGAGAAACCCTTTTTTCTTAATTTTAAATCAAAACTAACTTTAATCAGTGTATGTGAAGTAAGTTTTATGACTGCAATAAAATAGTTTAGGAAAGAAACAAAAGGGAGAAAGAAAGACCCACACTAGTTTACTATTGATATATTTATTCAGTATAAATATTTCACCTGTTGTCGTAAATGTGCTATACATCCAACTGAAAAATCTAACAAGAAAATGAACGGTTGAAAGGTAAGCCATATTAACTTAGTATTACTTTTCCAAATCATTGTAAAATAATTAAGGTAAGGGATGAACAACTAAAGGAAATTAAACATGAAAATAATATGCTTATAGTCGTGGGATCAATGTAAGTAGTTAGTTAAGTTTTCAGTCAACAAAAATGTAACAATGCTAATACAAATAAGACGGTACGGTTCTATTTTGATACACAGTCTTTTAAAATATTTTAATGGCATTGGTAAAGTATCACAATAGTTCTTTTACTGTTTTAAATTGGTAATATGAAATTCCAAACAGAGTCCTTCAAAACTTAAAAATTCCTGTTAAATTAATAAGCATATGACTGGATGTTATTGAAGTTATTTAAACTATTAGTTACGTTTGATTCGTTCTAGTATAATACATTACTTACGCCTGTTACTCCCAGTGGAGCATAGGCCTCCAACCCACTCTGTCCTGGGCCTTCCTTTCTGGTTCTATCCAATTGTTGTTCATTCTCCTCATGTATGTCTCCATTTCTCGGCGTAATATGTTCGTTGTTCTTCTTTTTTTTCCATTCGGCCTTGACCCCCTAGGGCTACTGCCGGTCCCAGGCCCGGGTAAAGGAGGAAGGTTTGGCATGGTGTTAGCGACCCCATCCCGTGGAAAACTAACTAGCTAAAAAAACGCTAACCAGAAAAAATTCAAATCATTTAAACTCTGCTCTGGGAGTTAGAAGGTCTTCATTTGGAAGAGTTGTAACGCCTCATGGTGAGACCCGAGTTCCTTCGGAAGTCATGAGGTCGATGCCCTTTCTAACAACCAGAGTAACAGCTTTTATAGGTACATGGAATGGTCGTAGAATGTGGGAGACAAGAAGAGTCTTCCAAATTGCTGCAGAAATGAACAGATACAACCTTGAGGTGCTTGGAATCAATGAAACACATTAGAAGCTGGTTGAACAACAACGACTAGCTTCAGGGGAGCTTCTGTTATACTCCGGCCATGAAGAAGGAAATGCTCCACATGCACACGGAGTTGCACTGTTCTATCCAGTAGAATACCTACAGTACATAATATCTTAGAAACTATATTTTAAAATGTTCTACAGTCTCTCTTCATCATATTCTTCCTAATAATAAATTTCAAGTTTCATGAAACCATATACATACATAGCACTATTTAAAATATGATTATCAACTAATTAGGATTATTCAATGTTGAATGAGATTTTTTGTTATTTCATTTTTTAAGTAATATGCACTTAACTTGAAAGAGAAAAGAAATTAATGACCTGAACAAAAAGCATGGTAACTAAGCTTTTTCTGCATTAATGGAATAATAAAATTAGGAGTTCAGTAAAAATAGACCGAGAGAGAGAGAGTCGGAGGGACAATAGAAGAAAAATAAGTGAGTATTACTTATAAAATAATAGGATTAAATTCCGAGAATGTCAAAAGAAAAAATTTTCAATAATGAGAACAAACATCTCAATCAAAAGGATTAAGTAAAAGGTTAAGTAATCATATACATATATATTTCATCTGATCAATGTATATAACATTCATATATTATTCGGATGATGACAACATTTTGACTTGAAACCTGAAAAAAACGGAAAATAAAAAGGTCCAGGATGTAACTGGCTCATGTCCACACATGGAAGTCATAATATTTACGCATGGAAAGTTATTGGGTACATAATATAGAAGTTAAAAAATATCAAATCATCACCGTTTACTTAGATTAATGTAACACTGAATGGACTACATTAACTTCGACTTATGAGGTTTTCTTTATTACCATTCTATTGCTAAATGGTTTTGTCGATGAATAATAATAATGTGAGGGAATGAAAATAGAGGCTCAGTCTTTGGCAATCTAATATCAAGTTAAAATTTTCTAAAAAGCTATTCACAGACTAGTTTTATTTAGGTCTAGTTACCTTTTTTGATAACCTGCGTATAAAAAATTGCTACAGACAATAAAGAGATCAATTGACTGGTTTCCAGTTAGAACTGTGAAAGTCTACAGGAAATTTTGTCGATGAGCATTTTTAATTGAATTATGTATGATTTAGTTCATTAGTCGAAGAAGTATCTACCGGGTTATTAGGTTCTACTTTCGACCATTAGGTTCAAAGTTTTAGTTCTACTTCAGTTTGAGCAAACGAGTAGTATCACTAGCACTCATATAAAAAGTTTGGCTCAAAGTTGAATACATAAAACCATACTTGGTGAGTTTCATCCAGATGGGAAATAATATTCAGTAACATTTGTACCAAGTTCGAGAATAAGATAGTTGTAATCAATTTAAATCAATTCATTTCACAACTTACATATGACATTGACAATTATGTGAGTAGAGAAAAATTATGAAATGTTTAATTTTATCTTCATCGATAATGCGTATCAACTTTCGTGTTGCGCATATATGTCTGGTGCCACCTTGTACCAATATTTATGTGTTCAAATAAACTCAGATAAAAATTTAAATCCACTTATTTATAGACCAAGTTATTAGTATTAAATATTTTACTAATTATCTTTTAGATAATAGGAACGGGAAGCTTACTCATCGATGGTATTAAGTAGGAGCCTCTCTGTGTCATAAATTGATTGAAGTTTGAACCTATCGTGATCGCCATGAAACATGAATGAATTTAGTTTGATCTTATATATGGGATTTTGAAAGCAAACTCCTAAAGGATCTTAGATTTAGAACAGAGGATAGTCTAATCATCATCCTTCAAAATCCACTTAATATCGTTATCCTATTAAATTTTGTCAATATACTTTTTTCATTCGGTTGCTTCCAATAAGTAATGATGAAAAATTATACACTTTATAGTATGCAAATTGTTCCTGTATGTATTCGTCTCTCAAACAAGTACATACATTTACTTAAATTTTCTACGATGTAATTAACATATTATACCCAAACATTACACTCATTTTCTTAACACTTACATATGTTTTTTTTATAGAAAGGATCTATGGAATAAAATAAATATTCACGAAATATAAATTATGTAACTGGTTAAATAAGTTCGAATCAGAAATAAAATATACGCTTCTTTTGTAAATAATACAAGGTTACCAAACAGTTACTGTCTATTGTTCAATGGTAAAATTGATTTTCCTATTAATATTTTGTTGGTATAAATGTAGACTGTAGCTGTTGAGATTTATACATGTACACAGTTTTTCACTATTCCGAAAGATGTAAAAAATAACAGTAGATTATGTGAATTTATTATAAATTTTTGGCTGAGATCACAAATCGATAAATGTTAGACCACCATGGAGAACCTAGAAGCACTGGGCGGCTGTTTCCTTCTAGTATGGGACTCCTCAGTCGTGCGCATCCACGATCCCGAACGCGGGACTCGAATCCAGGTCCTTCAGTCTCGTGCACAAACGCCTAAACTCTAGACCACTGAGCGACCATCAGACGGTGTTGATGTCTAACTTCAACCAGTCCACGAAAGTTCGCGGCCATCTACCATTGTTTGAGTTAGATACCTAGCTCTACCTGATACAGATTATCTCCACTGGTCACGGCTTCTCAGTAGAAATCTAAGAGTTCCCTCACGGAGCTAGTCACCAATGAGCACATGGTAATCGTCAGTTTTGGGTCGTGGATGTTAAGCGTTCACACGTGAGACCGAAGTTAATGGGTTCGAATCGCACGTGCGGGATCGTGGATGTGCACTGCCGAGAAGTCCCATACTAGGACGAAACGGCCGTCCAGTG